TATATATATATATATATATATATATATATTGAATTTATATGTAATATACAATACCTTTAAATAGTTTGGGGTTGATAAAATGTTTTTATTGTTTTTGAAATAGGTCTCTTATGCTCACCAATGCTGCATTTGTTTGACAGTAAAAACCGTGATACTGTGAAATATTGTTGCAATTAAAAATAACTTCCCTATTTTAATATATTTTCAAATGTAATTTATTGCCGTGATGGCGATGCTGAATTTTCAGCAGCCATCTCCAGCAGTCTCCAGTGTCACATGATCTTTCAGAAATCATTCTGATTTGATGCTCAAGAAATATTTCATATTATTATCAATGTTGAAAACAGTTGTGGAAACTGTGATCTTTTTTCATGATTCTTTGATGAATAGAAATTTCTAAAGTCTTTTCTGATGAGTTTAATGCATCCTGAGAATTGTTTTTTAAATCCTACTGACCCCACACTATTAAACGATTGTGTATATTATTTAAATTGTATTTCTTATCCACTCATTATATATCACATAATATAACTGTTAGAACCTGTAATGTGTTAAGTGTGTTTCTGAGAGACAGGATCTTTTCATTAGCTTCTTGTTGATAGGTAGAGACTTTCTCCTCCAGTCGGCTGTAGGTTTGCCGTAGGGTGGCAAAATCTTCAACCACACTTCCAACTCCAAATTTTAGCTCCACCCACATCGCCTGCAACTGAAGCAACAAGTCAGAGGTCACCAATACTCAATAAGAGACAAACCCAGATAGAGAGATGAAGGTTAAGCAGGAGGACAGGAGCTTCAGATCAGTCTCAATAGCATTAGGGAGGGTCAAGCTAAATGTGGCCTGAGTTCTGTCACACTCTTCCTATTAGCAATTCATTGTCTCAATGACTTTTATTTTCTTAACAGCAGTAATCTGTGCGGGTGTGTGTGATTGGAATTAGAGATTAATGAAACAGTGAATTTAAAACAGAAAACCTATTTTGTCGTAAACACACACACACATCAAAGTATACAAAATCATGAGAAAGCTATCACAAACTGGAAGTGAGTAAAAGAGAGGGCAATTTAGATTACCTGAAGGTCTATGGCATCTATGTCATTACCTGTACCTGCAAAAACACACAAAAACGAAATTTCATGCAGAAATACAGACTTTATCACACAAAAGTTGACAGAAACATGCACCAACAAGAAAGAAAACTTTCCAAAAAGTCATCCATTGAACTCTTCACTTAAAGTAGACTTCACTGTTAATGACCAATTAATCATATTAAAAAAAAATTAAATAAAAAAAGCATTACGGAAGATCTAAGAATTTTTGCAGATTGAAAATCAAAGTTGGTTTACCCTCTATTTTGCCATTCTCCATGATCCGACGGTCTTCCAGGTCCAAATCCAGGACTGTCGTTTCAGATCCTCTGTGGTTCGGATCTTTTCTAGTAGTTTCTTTGCTCAAACTGATTAACTTTAAAAGCCAATGAAATGTCACACTTCTATGTTTTGATATGGTTAGAAATGACAGGAGAGCTCTCTGATTCTGTGACTTTGTCTTTCTATCACTTGTCTTTCTCTCTCTCTCATCTGTCCAACCTATCTCTTCCCCTCCTCTTTGAAACATGTGAGTCTGATGAAGTCGAGGACAAAAAGAGACCTTGTTTTACAGTAAGTGGATGGATGAAGGAAGAGAGAGAGAAAGATAGAGACGTCTGTTAGCATTTTTATGGTTCAGAATCAGACGATTAAATTTCCTCTTCAACCTTTAAGACCAATTTTCCATTTAACAATGAACTCTGTATGAGCTCTGGAAAGGATCCACTAGGCATATGAACAGAAACACCCACAAAATTATTGTCATAAACTCAAAAGTGAACATTGAGTCATACCTAATTTAATTGAGGTATAACAATGAAACAAATAAAACACCCTCAAGAAGTTATTCAGTTTCAAATGGAATCACGCACTGGAGCTTCAGGCTCATTTGAAGCAGATTTAGAAGTGAACTGAAGGGTGGTAGATCTCCAGTTGAGCTCTTGATCCACAGTAAACACGTTCTCACTCCAGAGGACAGGAAATTGAGCCTTACGGTCTTACACAACTCCTGACTTCTCATCGCAGTCATGAGCTCTGCTGCTGTGCGTGCTCGTGTATTTTGGAGATGCGCTCCACCAATGGCTGAACCGTACACAGAGAATCACATTCCTCTCACCCTTTGCACTAAAACAAAGTAGTGATTCTTTCAGAAGTGCAGTGTGTGGGAACATGTGTTCTTGATGTTCAGTGGATGCTGCTGGAACTGAAGTTATTTCATTGGATCTCATCAGTGCCTCAGGGCTGCTAGCTGTGGTAATGCATCACTGTGTATCTAAGATCTCTTTCAATAGTTTCACGGGTGGTTATTCTTTCAACTTCAAGTTGACTCAGATGCTTGCTTCATAATCTTGATAAAATGCTCAAATTGTACTATCAATATTTAAAAATTCAGTGCTTCAGAATATCTTTTGAAGTTCAGTTTGGTCTAGTGATTGGCTACTTAACAATAGACCACTTACTGAATGCCATCTAATAAAGAAAAAGAACAGAAAATGTTTTTCTGTATACATTTAAATGGTGTGTGTTTGTGTGCAAGTCACACGTTGACTTTGAGCTTCAGTCCCAGTGCGGCTTTGTTATGAAACTTCCCCCTCCACACAAGTCCTTGTGAATCTGTGAACTCCCCTTCACCTTCAAATCTGCAAAAACAAATTTATGTTCTGACAATTAAGCCTTCCTTATGACAATATTGCCAATTCCTGCTTTGCATATGTTTGCAGGACTGATTATACTGTATCACCTGTTGTTGTTAAAAGTTCCTGTGTATTCTGTCCCATCAGGAAATCGATAAGTTCCTTTGCCATGATACATGTTGTCTCTGAACAGGCCGCTGTAAAACGCCCCTGAAGGGTGTGTGAGAGTTCCTCTGCCATTCATCTACAGGCCACATAACACCACCAACCAAGACATAATTACAAAAAGCATATTAAGAGAAGTAATATATTTATCCAAGGTAGTTGTCACATGCCTAAATTTACATTTCATCTAATTTGTTGCATAATGCACTCAAAACTGAGATAAAAGCATGAATTCAGTGTTAGCCTTTGAAAGGAGATCAGATGAGTCACTGACCTTGACAGCTTTAGTGCACATGTGACCAAAGTTTGACTTACTTAAATATTGTAATTATTATTATTTTTTTAAATCCCACACACACCATATCATTGTCCCATTCTCCAGTGTATGTAACTCCAGAGGCTGATGTCTGTGTGCCAGACCCTTTCCTTATCACCACACCATCTGAAGTAGGACAGCATTCGCCCTCTAAACACAAACACACAAGTACACATCTGTTTAATGGGCTTAAATAAAATAAAATAAAAGATAACATTCACAGACACGTTTAAAGCTGTCAGCTAACTCACCATATTTGTCTCCATTTGGAAAAATGTAAGAAATTTTAAGAGTTGTAGTCTCTGCAACAAAGAGCAGCAAAGTTAAATCAGGCTTTTATATCTTGAAGTGACAGCCAAAAAGAGAAAAGAAACGTAAGTTTAAGTTATTCAACAAGTAACAAGTATTTATATTTAGAATGTATATTCTAAATTATAGAAATAATTGTTATGAACATATTTACCAGGCATGATGCTGTATTTATTTGGTTATAGTAAAAGCTTTACTAAAAACTCTTTACATCACGTCATTCAGGAAAGTTGCAATAGAATCTCCATAGCAACGACGCAACAACTCTTCTTCTTCTTCTTCTTCTTTGACGTTTTATGGCGGTTGGCAAACCAGCTTTAGGTGCATTTACCGCCACCTACTAGGATGGAGTGTGGAGCAATGACGTTAAAGGAAAATTTATGTATTCATGTTCCCAACAGTTTTCTAATACTTTTTTAACTGGATGTATTTCTGAATGCCCTTTCAGAAAAACTCTGCTTCGTCTGATTGTTTTTGAGTCATGTGCTGTCTGTACTGCCATCTGGTGAACGCGCCACTGATCTAGCGCACTCTGCCGACCCGGAAGTTATTCCAGTGGGTGTCCAACGTGTGTGTGGCGAGGCAGCTGCGCGTTAACGTGAGTAAGGTAATAAATGTACATATTTTTCACTTACGCTTTACAAACTTTACAACTTGTTGAAAGTGGTCATACTGCGAGATGGAAAGCATGTTAGTTAACGTTAAACATGTTTTGACAGGATGTTTTTTTATTGAATATAATTGATTTCTGTTTAATGTTCTTTTTGAGTCACACCAGTGTCATACTAACTGATTTTCTCTTACAGACGTTTTAAAAGAGACCCCATTTCGCAGGTTTTAAACTGGAGATTTGACAGCTCAGCTTTTCTGTTGACAGATTAATGGAAAGTTCAGACGGCAGATTTTAGTTGTGATGTCATTACATCTTTTAGTGCATGTTGTCTTTTGGTGAAGTTGAAGACCTTAATTTATATTTAAGTTCAAAACAGGTCCACAAACTCTCTTCAAATATGTGAAAACTAGTTTCTCCTCTTGTTTTTAGATCATGGGAAAGTCCAAACAGGTCGGAAAGCACAGTAAAGGCAGGAAGAAGAACATTTCCAAGACATGGAAGACTAAGCGCAGGACGAAGGACCTTGACCAGATCCATGCAGACATGATCCCTGCAAATGCTGTCAAGTTACTAAAGCAAGATGTAGATTTTGATGTTACAGGATGTGCTCAGCATTACTGTCTGCACTGCGCGTAAGTCACACCTCACCACCCCAATGACACACCACATTTTTTTTTAACTGTTTGTATTTTTTTGTTTTTAGCTTTTTAAAATATTCAGCTTTTCATTTGAATTTTTTCCTTCCTTTTCTAAAGGAGATATTTTGTCAATTTGAAAACACTGAAGGAGCATTTCAAATCTAAACCTCATAAAAAACGGTGAGTCGGAACATTTTAAAATCTTTTTCTCTTTTCTCTTAATGTTGAATATTTGGATCATACAGTTTTATGCAAAAGTTTGGGCACCCCTGATAATTATCATAATTTTAATTTATAATCTGCTGGGCTTTCAAAGCAGCAACTTGATTTGGATATATTTTATACCCTATGGAGACAGTAACATTTAAGTTCTGAAATAAAAAAATTTTAATCAACAAAAACAATGCAATGTGAATCATAACAAAAACACACAGGTGCAAGTAATTTAGGCACTCCAATGAAATAATGTCATCAATATTTAGTAGAGCCACCTTTTGCTGAAATAACAGCCTGTAGACACTTCTTATAGCCACTGATAAGGCCCTGAATTCTGGATGCAGGTATTTTGAACCATTCTTCCTTGCAAAATGTCACTAGTTCAGTCAGGTTTGATGGCTGCCGAGCATGAACAGCCAGCTTCAAATCATTCCATAGATTTTCGATGATGTTCAAGTCTGGGGACTTGGATGGCCATTCTAGAACATTGCATCTGTGTACGTGCATGAACTCCTTGGTAGATTTGGAACAATGCTTTGAGTCATTGTCCTACTGAAATAAATAACCCCGGCATAACTTCAACCTCTTGGCTGATTCTTGAACATTATTCTTCTTGAGAATCTGCTGATACTGGGTGGAATCCATGCAACCCTCAACTCTGACAAGGTTTCCAGTACCTGTGCCTGACACACAGCCCCACAGCATGATGGACTGTCCACCAAATTTTACAGCAAGGAGCAGGTTCTTCTCCTGGAACGCTGTGTTCTTTTTCCGCCATGCAAATGCCTCTTGTTGTGACCAAATAACTTAGTTTCATCTGTCCACAGCATATTATTCCAAAATAATTCAGGCTTGTCCAGATGAGCCTTTGCATACCTCAAATGACTCCGCTTGTTGGCACTGGCAGTACGCAGAAAAGCCTTTTTCCGCATCACCCTTCCATTGAGCTGTTCCTTGTGCAAAGTGCGCTGGACTGTGGAACGATGTGCAATGACATTATCAGCAGCAAGATGTTCTTGGAGCTCTTTGGAGGTAGGGATGCGCCGATCCGATATTCATATCACATTATCAGCAGCAAGATGTTCTTGGAGCTCTTTGGAGGTAGGGATGCGCCGATCCGATATTCATATCGGGTATCGGCTCCGATACTGCCATTTTTGTCGGATCGGGTATCGGTCAGAGAGAGCCGATCCAAATCCTAGATTGTGCGTATTGTTACCTCTGCTCTGAAGCCATAGCATAGCTTAAAGGGTTCCTCCACCTCAAAATGCAAAAATTTGTCATTAATCACTTACCCCCATGCAGTGGTGGAAAGAGTACTGAAAAAAGATACTCAAGTAAAAGTACCATTACCTTCCAAAAAATTTAGTGTGAGTAAGCGCTTTGTGCCGCACTATATTTGTTATCGAATCTATCATATGTTGTTGCCTTATTAAAAAAAATATGCTGTACATTTAAAAGAAACGTATTTTAATTTTATACTTGTATATAAGTACATTCATGAATGTTTTTAATTATGGATTTTATAATACAAATAGCAATGTGTAACATTTTACCATATTTAGTGCAACACTCTTTATAATGAAGTAGTCTGTATCTAGTAGATTGTGAAAGAATGATTATCAGTTCCACACACAG